TGCTTGGTGCTTTCGCCGAGCTGTTAGGCTCTCTTGCTTCCTGGTTGACGTTTGTTTCCATGGGTATCGTTTGTTGTCTTCTTTGGATATTGCCACAAGACGTCTAACATCACCGGATCAGATTCTGGGGGCTCAGATCCTGCAGGCGGCTTTTGCCAGGACGCTGGCTGGCCAAGTTTTTCTATTGCCACGACAACGGCTTGACAGACCGCTTTCCTGCCGTCAGGGGTGAGGTGAAGTCATGGTCGTTTTTTTTAACCGCGCAAACGTCAGCGCTGCCTCGATAAAAGAAGCGCGAAGTGTCTCAAGCGTCGGAGTCTGCAGCGTTTGGAGGTCATGAGATATAGCAAGGGCCTTCCCGCGGAAGCTTTTTGGGCAACTGGTGACCCCTTTGCCTACCCAATCGTTTTGTTACCTGCTGAGCAAGATTTCATTCAGGAGAGGTTTTCTTGCGAGAGGGTGTGCGGGCCTCCCGGCGTACACCCGTTCGCGGACTACCGGGAGGGGTTTTCTTGCGAGAGGGTGTGCGGGCCTCCCAGCGTACACCCGTTCGCGGACTACCGGGAAGGGTTTTCTTGCGAGAGGGTGTGCGGGCCTCCCGGCGTGCACCCGTTCGCGGGTTACCGGGATGGACTTGGCACTGCACCACCTTGTTGTAACAAACCGTCCGTTGCATCTGCACCTAACAACACACTGGGAACTATGAGCGTACATTGGAATTTGGGGGAGAATGGCGCTCCCCCTGGTGAATTTGATGACTTCGAAGATCCTGGTGTTGGCAGTGTCAAACAGAGTTGCGGTCCGAGTGAAGTCACATGTGAGGGTGTTTGTGCCTGCGTGAGCGTTTTTCACATGTCATGTTGCGGCATGCACACATGTTTGCCAGTGTCTGCAGTTTTTTTAATACTCGTGTACATGGCGTGCTCGAGCGGAAGGGGCAGTGCTGTGCACATTTTTTGATGGAAGAAGTATCAGTGCTCTGTCCGCGAGGCTTTCCCTGTACGCTGCCTGGTGCGGCAGCGGTGGGTTAGCTGCTGGCGCTGTTTGCGCCGGTGCGTGACGGGATGCTATTGCCACCGCGATGTGAGACGGCAAGGTAAAACGTCAGCTGGAGTGCCTGATGGGAGATATATATATATATATATTGTATCGGCGTCTGCAAATACAATTCAACTTTTCCAGCCTGTTTCTCTGTTCGACTGTTTGCTCATTACCTACTGCGCGTGCACGCCGCGAATAAAACAAAAAAACCGAGTTTTTTGACATTCAGCAAAGACTCGGTTTTTTTCGGTTTTCCCATTTCCATGGTAGACTAAGCTGTAGGTCTGTATCTAGCAGCGCAAAACATCTCGGATTTCGGCTAACTCTGCGTCACCGAAAACAATTGGGCCAGACGGAGGCTCAATGAAGAAGGCTTGCGCTGCAGGACACGTAAGACATCCACTTGTGTGCGTGATAAAGTACACATTGTGTCGGAGTCTGCAAGTAGAATTCAACTTTTCCTGCCCGTTTGTCTGTTCGACTGTTTGCTCATGACCTACTGTGCGTGCACGCCGCGAATAAACAAAAAAAACGAGTTTTTGGACATTCCGCAAAAACTCAGTTTTTTCAGGTTTCCCATTTCCAAGGTAGACTGAGCCGTAGGTTTGTGTCTTGCGGTGCGAAACATCTCGGATTTCGGTAAACTTTGCGTCACCCAAAACAATTGGGCCAGCTGGAGGCAGAATGAAGAAAGCTAGCGCTGCAGGAGAGGTAAGACATCCGCTTGTGTACGTGATAGCGTATATATTGTATCGGAGTCTGCAAAATAGAATTCAACTTTTCCTGTCTATTTCTCTGTTTAACCATTTTTCCTCCTTATCTACTGCGCGTGCACGCCACGCATCAGCCAAAACAAAAACGGTTTATGAAATTCAGTAGGAGAGAGACGCAGAGCCTTCCACCTAGTGGTTGCATGTTGCTCCATGCCGTGACTACCCCGTGGTGTGTTTGTTGCAACAAGCAGATGCCATGAAGCAATGAATGCCTGGCTGCCCGCTGCTACAGCCTTGCCGTGGGCAGGGCTGCCCAACATGCACATGCTGCAGATAAGCCACATCGATTAAGCCATTTTGTGATGCCACATAGCCAGTCTCAGACATAGTGAGAACCCAGCCAGATCTCCAGACACTTTAAGTGGGACTGCCACTTGGAGCCACTTGGAGCCACTTGGAGCCACTTGGCGCCACTTGGAGCCACTCCAAGTGGCACGGCCACTTCAAGTGGCACTGCCACTTGGAGTGGCTCCAAGTGGCCCCAAGTGGCAGATTCAGAATCCTCCCGGATTGCACGTCCTCTCCGGTACCCTGTCTGGGGTCGGTTTAAACGAAAACTGAAAGGAACCCCATCTTTTTTGGGGGGTCCAATCCCTTTGACACAGACCCTGAGAATTAAAGAAACAAAGAAGCTGGCCACGCTCTCAAGCACTAGCAACCTGCCCCTCCGCAAAATGTGTGTGTGTGTGCTTTGTTTGTTTTAGGGTGTCCTTTTAGTTGGTACTAAGGGACACCAAAAGGACGCCCCCATTGTTTGGGTCCGCCTATTTTGACCTGCCACGTTTCTTCGATTCACGTTCGGCTTGCACACATCTTCTTGGACTCTTTGTTGGACGAACCGACTGCTTCTGTATGCTCCAGGTGTTGCGAGTTGTTTCTGCCCCATCAAGAATCAGTTCGAGCTGCTGAAAAGGGGGCCCGGCCTTTCGTTGGGTTGCAGCTGTGATTGTTTTTTGGGTCAGACCAGTCTAAAGAATCCAGCTTCAGGTATCCTAACAAATCTAAAAGAACTTCGCCCGGACCTTTGGCTGACCCTTTGCTGGAGGCGTTTTAAGGCGTTTTAAGGCATCTGCCCATTCGCCTAAAGGTGTATGTACCCCCCAGCACATGTGTTTGCTTTTTTCTTGGGGCTGGCTCCAACCTGTCGCGAGGAGGTTGTGATCGGCGAGCCGGTGAGGAGTGCAGATAGTGATGCCATGGTCCAGGAAACCTTTTGAGTGCGGGCCGAGGCTTCCGATTTGGCCAAGATGAACTAGTTACCTAGTTGGAGTGTGCTAATTATTTTCCTGCCGGATATTCCTGAAGGATGAGTGGTTTGAGGCCAGTAGAGTCTTCTTGCTGAAACCTGGATCCTATTGAAGTAGTTCCAGTGACACGCTTTCAGAAGCAAAGTCACATCGAACTGCCACGGCCCTGTGTGATTGCCAACGAGCCAGATTTCAATCCGTTAACGCGACTCCGCCGGTGAAGCGGTCCGAACTTTTGGAACAAAGGTGCGGCGCTGAGGAGGAGCCAAACGGAAATCGCATTACGTGGAAACCAACCAATCACAATGTAGCCGAAGGGTGCTATAATGTCTATCTCCCCCAGTAGTGCCCTCTCAAGACTAAAAAGTCGGTACCCTTCTAGCCTCTTTGGACCTAGATGTGTTCAAGGACGTAGTGTTTGGTCTTTGCATGTGACCTGCCTAGAACCATCCCCAAGCAGCACGTTTTGAATCGTCGGTCGGAAGGATTCATGAAGCGCCTGCGGGATTTCCGGAGAGTTGCAACTCAGATCCGAGTCCCGGACCCTTTTTGGCTTCCTTCCGTCACTCTCCCTGCTGAAAATCATACTTCTCTTTGTCCCGCGGGGTTACAGGGAAACTGTCACTACTGAATATATACATTGACATATATATATATATATGTACATATTTAAGGATGCTGAAGCGTCATGGAAGTGGCTTAAAACAACCGCCTAAGGCTTCTTCGCACCGGGATCCCATTCCCACAGGTTGCGGCACGTGTCGATCCATCGATCCGAAAAGTCCGAAAGCCATCAGCTTGAGCTTCCGGGACTCTGATGAAAAGCGGAAAGAGCAGTCCCAACTTGGCGGATTTTCCACTGGGTCCCCCAGCGATTGGTGCCCTTTCTCACCCGTTTCATTTTTTTTGGTTGGGAGGGTTCCCCTACTCAAGTAGACAAAACTGGGAAAAAGGGTACCCTTATTCTAACCTCTCTACTGGAGGACCTAGTTTCTTTCTTCCAAGAGCAATCATAAAGGACTCCAGGGTTGTGGTTGATCGCTCGGGGCTTATCCAACCACTTCTGTACCAGGGAATCTCCCCCTTTATGTGGGGAGTTAGTCCTTGGGAAGCCCTTTTTGGTGTATCACAGAAGTGGATTCCATTTCCCACAGCCCTGTTTTAAAGGACCCATGTTTTTGCAGGTCCTTGGAAGACCAGGGTTAGACCGTGTGCCCCCAGCCCAAATTTGTTCCTCCGTACTCTTGGGGAAACAAGAAAAGCATTCGCCGCTCATCTTGAAATGGGTGTGCCTACTCCAAACACCCGCTTCCTTTATGGTTCATTTCGGAAAACCAGTTTTTTCATGGCAAATACATCCCTTGATAGGTAGTTCACATGCTGCCCCGAAAACAGGCGGCATTGGAGTAGGAGCATCCTTTTGAACTTTTGAACTTCAATCCCTGCCGTTTCAGTTATGTGGACCGCCAGTGGGGGGGTTCTTTTTTTTCTTCTTCGACTTTTGTTTGGAGGGGGTCTCCGGTGAAGTCAAGCACCGGAAAATGGGTGCCCCTTCTTTTCTTGGATCGGTATCAACTGCCTGTTTTCCCATGGGTCTGGGATGCTGACGCACATCTGCGCTGGGAAAAGGTCCCAATGCAAGCTCAGAAAGCCTGAGAATGGACCAACATCACGCATTTGGCAGCCAAGTTTTCTTCAATTATTGGACCCCCGAAAACTGTGAGCAATCCTGTAGCGTTAACAGGTGAAGTCAGCAAGGTTATGGTGAAATGGTTGCCCTTCGTATTCTCACTCCCTGAGTTCTTGGCCTTTGTTTGGTAAGTACGGTAAGACCATTCAGTCAGCCAGGATTTGCTACCTTTTGCCGGGTGTACCATGCGACTCGCCTATTTTAAGCGAGTTTGCTTGGGTGAAGAGCCCACCGGAAGTCGCCGACGAGAGGTGCAGCTGGTTCGTCAGCAGCTTGGCTGCCCTGCCGGCCACGTTTTGGATCGATCCGCTTTGCAGGGAACCAGGGGATCCATCAGTTGGGCCGATCTGGAGGATTTGTTTGCGTGGAGCTCGGGTTCAGGTCAGTTTGGGTTGGTGCTGGGATTTGACCTCCTGGTTCTTGTAGAGGGTCAATGGGGTTTACCACCCCTTCACCACCAAACCACAAGTTATAGAGTGAAGCTCAAGGATTGCCTGCATTTCCGCCTCGGAAGGTGTCAGCACCTCTTGGGCCATTTTGGGCGTGGCTTGTTTTTTTTTTGGAGTTGGTACCTCTTTGGGTGGTTTTAAAGGGAATCCAACAAGGAAACCAGCTATTTTGGGGGGTCCCCCCCAAAAAAAATCTGACCATTTTAAGTGAGTATTTGTTTCGTGGGGCGATGGATGCAGGTTCGATCTAGGGAACTCGGTACATGTGCCTGATTGTCGAAGAGAGCTCGGTACGCAATCTCAGAGACCAGGAGAACCTGCCACGTCAAGGCGCCCTGTTTGCAGAGTTCAAATGGACATACCCCCGCAAAAAACATGTCTTCGTGTATGTACCCAGGATAGCCCCTGTACACCCTCAATTCCGCTTTTTTAACCTTCGGTTCTGGGGCATGTCCATTTGTGGGGTATGTTAGTAGATTCAAGTAGCTTCTTAGAATCATGGGACGGCAACGAGCAAAACACACAAGACCCCGCAGGTATACTTGAAGACATCCATTGGGATATGCAACCACATGGCAGTGCTTGCTCAGTGGGGTGGCTCTTGAGCGCAGTGAGAGGTTTACTCGGCCCTTCGGTGGCTTCCGTGGCTTGTCAGCTTAGCGCTGTGTCCTTCAGCGGGTAGCAAATCATTTAATGTAACAGTTTTCCCGTTAAGTTTTTTGGGTGGGAAGTATCGACAGTACCAATTCCTTCCTCTAACAAGCAGTTCCCCTAAGAATCGGGACGTCCTAAAAATATGTTTTCTGGGGGAGTGTTGCAGGGGGTTAGTATTAGGGGACAGGGATTAATCTGAAGCGAGCTCGCACATTCAGACAGGGAAGCTCGCTGACTCCAATCTCGAGGAATCCAGACCTGGTCCGTTAAAGTGAACATTTGCAGGGGTTCTCAAAGTGCTTTGTGTGTTTGTTTTTGTGAGGGAGCGGAGGGGAAGGGGGGAGGTTGTTTCGCTTTCAACCACAACAAGTGTTGGAGGTCTCAATTTCTTTGCCTTTCGACCACCATTTCCATGATTCATTTTGAAGATGTCACGATATATTGGTCCCCGCGCCCGAACCTGACGCTTGGCACGTGGGGTGAAGTGTGGTGCAGCTGATCCATGGGTTTGGTTTGCTTGAGTTCCTGTGGAAGTCATCAGCACTTGCATGTGCACGGGGTGCAAAACACGCCCTTAAATGTCCAACACTTTTTGCCGTACAAGGGTGTGTGTTTTCTTGAGGGTACCCTTTTTGTGTGGCTTGTAAATGCAAACCAAAAGGAACACAACCATCACATGCAATAAAAACAACACAAGGGGGCAGAGTTGCTCAGAGCTGCAAACAAGGTGTCCTTATGATTCCCCTTGGTTGCGAGGGGCAGAGCAATGAGGGTGGTTTTGCTTTCCTCCCGAACATAGGTTGTTAAATAGAACCCATTGGGCTTGGGTTTTCTCACTGACCGAGTTCCTGGACTTGTTTTTTTTTTTTTTGGAAAGACCATTTTAGTCGTAAATGACACGTTTTGACGTGTCTTTGGCCCATCCACTCAGGAGGTGAGGATTTATGCAACACAAGAAAACAAGGCACAGCCATGTTCCTGAGTCTTGGAGTCTTGAGATCCAGCCACTCGGGTCCTTGGCTGTTGTGCCAGGCAGCTCCAAAGATGCCCTGAGCGCGGCCCTTGGGGGGGGGGTTCGACGAATGCCAACGTCCATTTGCTTGAGAATATTTTGTTGGGGTTTTCCCCTGTTGGTTTTAGTGGGAATCTATCACTATTGGAAACATGTTTTTCCATTGGGGCTTAAGCAAATTGAAGACATGGATTTGAATAGATCTCTGGTTGACAAATAGGGGGGCGTCCCCTTTTTCGTGGGGGTTAAGACCACTTTTGGCGGGAACACCCACCCCCCTAAGGGTTTATCAATGTCAGGATTTGAAAACCATGATTGTTGGAAGAAATGTCGTTGGGGGACCTGTGAATGTGCAACAGAGGGCTCGTTTTCCTGCGAAACGAGGGAACGCCCGGAAACTGAAAGCTGTTCTTTTCCTCCAAGTGCTGGTTTGGGGTCATTTGAGCCACAATCAAAACCTGGGCAGATGAAGATTAGCAAGGGATATTCCCAACCGTAAATGGGTGCCTTCGCCGTCTTTAATTCTTTACATCAATGCCAGCTTTTGATTATGACTCATTTGCTGATTTGCAGAGCTTTCAACCGATGGAAGTTAACTTGCAGGGTTCGATTTGACAAGATGGGGGCAACACTATTTTTCAATCCGCCAAACCGCCGTGCCAAGGATCTGCGCAGTTTCGGCGCTTTTCGCTAAGTCCTTTTCGGGCCTCTCGTAGGTGAATCTGACTCACTGCCCGAGTTCAAGACTTTATGTCTTGTTGGGGAAGATCATTTTAGTGGCATACAAGTTTGGACTTGTTTCGGGCCATGCGCTCAGGAGTTGAGGAGAGGCAACATATCCTTGAAGCCATTCACTTTGTGGGAACTGCGAGAGCCCCACAGCCGATCACATTGCGCCGGGATTCGAATCATCGCGGTTGACCGGGGTTGATCCTCCATTCATCTGCAGAAACCGCAACTATTTTCCCGAGTGAATGCCAAGAAGACAAGGATCCCTAAGCAGAATGGGTTTTGTACGAGAACTTGTTCTACACCTCTCGCAGATCCGCCTTCCGGGTTCTCAGCTGCTGCTTGCTTCTTGTTTTCTCTCGCAGGGCACCTTGCACCATCAGGCCGTCCAGTGGCTTTCTATCATTCGTTGCTTCCCCGCCCGTGGTTCACATGGGGTGCGGTTGCGACTCCTCACCCAAGTTGCAACCGCGCCCATGATCAGAGTTGGTTCCTTTCTTGTGGTGCCTGATTTCAGGTTAATGAATCATCAATATCCTGCCAAAATCTTGGCCAAACCTGGATTTATAGGGGAGCATAGCCATTTTCAGGATCTTCCCTCTTCAAACCATGTTTCGTTGTGGCATTTCAGGATCTTCCCAAGCAAAGTTCCTCGACTTGCAATCGCCGAAACGTCGAGGCTGCTATCATACTATCCCTGCGTCGACTGTCAAGCAACCACACAAGCTGACGGCACCTGTCTGGTGCAACTCCCTGGATTTCTTGTGGTTCCCGTTTCTTTCCAGGGGCCGGCTTGGCTTTTTGCACCTCTGATGCAAATATCTGTGACCGCCCAAAGGCCTTGGCTTACCGCTCGGGATTCACTTCCGACCCGTCCGTTGCCGTGGGAACCTGACGAGGGACCTGTTGGGTTTCATTCTAGCGGACCGGAGGGTACCAGGCTACTGCGAAGGGTTTGGCTGGCACTACGTCAGCCATATGCTCTGGGTACACTGCTCTGTGAGGGTCGGCTCGTTTTCTCCAAGCTGCCACTCCCACCAATATCTGCTTATCTTATTTGACAAAAAGCCCATGGCAAGCACCTTGCCCCCTGCGCTGGCCACCTTGGCGATCATCCTGGCGCTCGCTTGGCTGCTCGCGCGCCACCTTCGCCGCAAGAAGAAGCTGCCGGAAGTGAAGCTCTCACAGCTGGCGCCAACACCCCTGAGACTGCAGCCGCAGTTCCCCAGCGTGGGTTGCTTCGTGTTTTCAGGTCCTTTGTGATGGAAAACACTTTTGTGTGGCGACTGTTGATCGCCGCTTTCCCCTGTTGCCCAGTGGTACCCTTTTCTCCTTTTTTGAGATAAGGGAATTCCCCTTTTGAAGTCAAGTCATTTATCACCAAACAACCCTTTTGTCTCTGCTTTTTTTGGGATAAGGGTTCCCCTTTGAAGTCAACCAACCAAAAAAAAGATGACGATTCCTCTCCTTTTTCCCATGGTCACTGGGCATCTGAGGTTCTACTTTGACTTCGCAGCGCATCCTTTCGCCCATGCCGACTTAGTGAGTCTCGCCTGCAAGGCGCATCGACCAGATCTCAGTTTTTGAGTTGGTCCATTGGTTCCAGATGGTTCCAGGCGGTGATCACCAAGTTGTTTTTTATTTCCAGGTGTTTTTCTGCTTTGGGGAATTAAGGATGCCCTTTCTTTGAGCAATTGAGGATGACCAAAGTGCTTTATTTCCAGGTCCCTTTCTTTGGGCAAGGATGGCATACAACGTGGTGGAGGTCCTGGACAAGTTGCAGGAGTACATCCAGACCAAGCTCTCATCCAGCAGCTCTGGCCAGCGCCTCCAAGTTGCTGGCCTCAAGTGCGTGCCGCCGTTGCCGCAGCTGGCGGTGCTCATGGAGGAATGCCATCTGCACCCGGAGGTGGTCCTTCACTCCGAACAACCTCAGGTTCTTCAAAGCGAGTCGACCTTTTGATCTGTTGGTGTTCCCTTTTTGGCAACCAAGTTTTTACCAAAGGTCCCCAAAGGTGGTCACCAATAGTACATTTCCAGTCCAAAGTGGTCAAGTGAGACAACCCGGCAAACTTCATGACCAAAATAAAATCGATCCCTCCAGTCCCCCCATGGAAGTCCTGAGGCATCAGAACCGGACGCGTCCGTGTCCGCTAAACTCATCCTTGGGAAGGGCGTGCTGGTGGCGGGCACGCTGGACTTACGGAAGGGCCCCGTGAAGCTTGGCGCCGGCAGCGTTCTAGAGCCCGGCGCTTTCCTGGCGGGCCCCGCCATCATCGGCAAAGACCGCCTTGCTTCCATGTTGGCTTAGCCAAAAAAACCTTTAAACAACTGGTTTGAAACGGCACGTGGCTTGTTGTTTTATGCTTGTTGGTTCTGTCCATGTTTAGTAGGGAGCAACAAGAATCATGATTTTGTTTTCCGGCGTAGGGTTGGGACAGTTCGCCTGTTGGTTTGAAAGGAAATCGATTATCACATATCACTACTGGAAAGATGTTAGCTTGTTTTCCAGGGCACGGATTCGGAAACGGAGGACACCTGCATCCGAAGCGGCGCGTACATCCGCGGCAACGTGTTGGTGGGCGATCGCGTGGTGCTCAGGGGGGAGGTGAAGAATGCCATCATCATGGACGAGGCAGAGTTCCTTAGCTGCAACAGCGAAGCGATCTGACCACTTGGTGTTTTCCCTTTTTGGGTTCCCGTTTTTAGTCAGAGTCACAACTTTGTTTTTTGGGGTTTCCCATTTTTGGTTCCCGTCTTTAGTCATAGCCCGAGTTTCCCCTTTTTGGGTTCCCATTTGTGGTAGCCCCAGAAGGTGATCAGCTTTTTTTTGCTGATTCCCTTTCGCGGGTCAAAGCTGAGGTTATGTCACCCCGGCTACGCGGGTGACTCCATCATTGGCTACAAGGCCCACTTCGGATGTCAAGCGCTGACGGCCAATTTGGGGCTCTTCGGGTCTGACCTGCGGGTGCCTCGATCGAGCTGTCAACCGGACGTGCGAGTCTAGCTGGTTTCGGACGAGGGAGCTGGGACCCGGTATCCAAATTTGACCTTTTAAAAAGGAGCGCTTAGGGAGGCAATTGGAATTTTGTGGTTTCCCTGGTTTGGTCGCTAAGGTTCACGACGAAGCTGAACAAACTCAAACGCCAGGGCCGAAGCTTAAGCTGTGGGCAAGTGAGCCACAATCAAAGCCCGGGTAGATGAAGGTTAGTAAAAGGCAGTCCCAGCCATAAATAGCTGCGGATCTCCGCCTTCAGTAAAAACCTTTCATGGTTCTGGGTAGAGCATTGTGGTACCGGGTTTTGAGCAAGTGACTCAAGTGAGGTGGCCCTGGAGGGCGTGCGCGTGAACCTGCAACGCCGCAAGATGGGCGTCATCTTGGGCGACTTCAGCCAGCTGGGCTGCTCGACCGTCACCGACCCCGCCACCTTCATGGCCAGAAATACCCACACCTACCCGCTGTGCCGGATCAGCTCTGGCTTTTATGGCCCGGATGAGATCATCAAGAACAAGCCAGAGGAACCAGTAGCGCTGCAGCGCCAGAGTATGGAAAACCAAAAGCGAGACCAGATATTTGCCTGGTGTTGGAAGGAGTGTAAGGTCCAAACTGGGCAAGTGAGACAACCACTTTCAAATTTGATTAGACCCCCTCATTTGCAGGGGACAAGTCCCTTTGGTTTCCACTGGTTTCTTGTATCCCCCCCAATTTCACGAGGAACAACTTCGATTCTTTCCTGCGGCTCCCTCCAGATGGCGTCTGGAAGTCTTGAGGCCTCATCATGCGGAAGCAGCAGCGCAAGAAGAGCCTGGACCTCAAAGAGGTCAGGGCTTTCAAGACGTCCATTTCGGGGTGTTCAGAGTGGGTCCAAGTACCTGGTGCATTTCAAGCGCACACTGGTGAAGCGGGGAAAAGGCGGGGGTATACAGGAAACCGGTGGAAAGAGAAAGGGACTTGATCGGGGGTATAAAAGGGCTACAAGGGCGCAGGAACCCTCAAAACCGGTCTCAAAATCAGTTTGAACTTGGGGAATCTGTGGTCCCTGGTAGGAGAAACTAATAGAGTACTAAAATAGTGCCAGCAAGAAAGGGCCAACAGGGGCAATCAGAAGGTGAAATCCACAAAAGCGCAAACAAACAATCTTCTGGTGTTCAGAGTGGTTCTACCTGGTGGTATACAAGCAACCTGTGGACACAAAAAGCGGCTTTTCCCCTGCAAATGAAAAAGGGGTATAAAAGGCAGCCGAACAGTTTCGGTGGTTTCAAAACCGGCGGCTCTCGTGACGATACATCGCCGTGTGGGAAGGAAGATGACACACGTCACCCGTGCCAGCACCTATACTCAAGTGGCTGTGGGTCAAAACCAATGGTACCAGTTTGGGGTAGGTGCACCACCCATTTTAGTCGATTTTAGTTGGGATTGGGATGTTCACTGGGGGTACGATTTGGATTTTGACCCATGGCCAAGGGGGGCACTTGGCCACAACAATTATCCCAGTGGGTGGCCTTGGAAGGTTCTGCACAGCCCAGGTGGCGATGAAAGTCCAACGCGAGGCCGAGGGCATGGGGATCATGGGGACTGGTGTCACACGACGTGGGCCCATGGCCTATTTACAAGGGGCAAATTGGAAAACCCACCCAGCTTGAACATACGTTTGTTTGCTCCGACTATTGTTGGCCTCATTATTTTACTATGATCAAAGTCACCTCCAAGTGGTGGGTTAAAGGAAAACAACCCGATTTTCTGACTTTGATATATAACCCCCCAGAAACAGTCGAAAGAATGACGTCTGCATTGTGAGCGTTGTCACATCAAGTTGCACGATGATCCCTTGGTAACAAGCTGGGAGTCCCAAAGGATGAGGCTGAGGCGGTTTTTATGTGTAGTGCCGTGGAAGACCTCCCTGTGGATTTTATAGAGGTATGGGCTGATTCGATCTACGTCATTCCTTTGGGCAGTGACTTGGTGGTTCTTAGGAGGTGTGTTGGTTGGATCTACGTCATGGTTCCCTCGGGTATTGATGACTTGGTAGCTCTCAGAAGGGAATGAGGGAATCACCCCCATGAATAGTGGTTTGCTTTTAGGGGATCCCGTTCTGGGCAAATTCCCAAAGCTCCAAGGACGTTTCCTACTGAGAAGCAGCACATCTTTGTAGTAAAGGGCCAAAATGTTTAACTGGTTTCGGCCAGTGAACTGAGCAGGTCAGTCAAGCTTACTTTGGCAAGGGGTGTTTAAATGGAACCCCCCCCCTCCAAACACCTGCTTTTTCAGGGGATGTCGACTGGGAGGTTTTTACTTGGAGTACCAGCTTTTCAGAGAATACCAAAACAAAGTTGATATTTGGATGGAGTAACCTAGGGGAACCCTTCGGAGGTGTCCCTGCTTTCGAGCCTCGCCCGTTTCACGGAGAGGCCACATGGGCAACAGTTGCCCGGGGCAGGCATGAAGTATTCCTGGATCATCAACGTACTGGTCGTTTCAATTTTGCAGCCAAACCATTGTACACTCAGACTGTCTATGGAACTTCGCAGATGGGTTTTCTTTTGCGGTTTACCACCATCCTGTCCATTAGGGTTCAGGTTTTTTAGCTGGTTTAGTGGGGTTTCCATGTACCCCCACAAGTTATTCACAGGGGAGCAGAAAATGCACAGCCCAGATCTACGTGAATAGGGATGTGTGATTTTAGCTGCAGGCCTCGTGGCACTGAGGTTCGCTTTTCCAACCCTGCGCTTACCCTGGCGCCGAAAAGGACGGCTGGCTCTCAGTGGTTGAGGCGTTCGGCAAATTCAGGCGAGGGGTGAATGGCTTTTGCGGTTCCTGGAAGATGATGTTTTTTGCACCGAGGGTGCTCCCCTAACCGTGGAACCAAAAAAGAGGTACCACAAAGAGAGTTTTATGTCAACATGTCGGTCTGCGGAAGTGTAATGGGGACCCCGGGTTAGCAAACCCGTCCTATTAATGGGGTGTGTGTCTCCTCCAAGAGTGATAAACCCCCGCTGAAAGGGGACACCCCCCTACTAATCAACCAGGGTTGATTAGTTTGGGGTCAACATTAGACACTTGGTCAACGGTCTTTTTCGGGGCCCCGCGGAGCGGACAAAAACATTGACCCAGTTGTATGAAGTTTGGGAGGGGGGCGGGCTGTTTGTCCCAACCCCGAGCCCGTTTTTCGACCTTCATTTGTTCTTTGAGTTTATGTACCCGGAGGGGTCCAAGTACCTTCTAAGGAGATCCTTAGACCCCTTCTTACCCCCAAAAGCCATCCTCATGAGGTACTTGGACCCTTTGAAGTATTCAACAAAAAGGTTCAAGGTCAAACATAAAGTCCCCCCCGTTGCTGGCCACTGCTTGGTCATGTGTCTGACGTCGGGGTATGAGGACTAGCAACGAGTTGCTTGTTTTTGTTTCCTCTGGGGAAGGCTATGCTGTTGCTTGCTTCAAGTTTGAACGCGTGCGAATCGAAGCAAGTCTGAGTCCTGTTTTGACATCTTACCGTTAAATGGAGGGGTTCATCAAAAGGTCCTTACTGGGGATGACCATCAAGGAAACCGCTAAAAAGACGATACTTCCCACTAAAATGGGGAACATTTCCCATAGTCAACACTGGGGACCCTGAATGGAATATTGATCACCCCCCAAATAGTCACCAACGACCAGAACCCAAAAAGCACTGCCAGAACCATCGTCCCTTTATTTTTTCGCATGGTTTTGAGCAGACCCTTTCAATACCAGGTCTTGATTCTGACTCGGATATTCATTTGGGAGTGCAATTCTTGAAGGTACCTTTTGTTTTGTGTGGTGTTCGTGGAAATTGTCAAAAGGAGCACCAGCAATTTGGGGTCCCCTCCAGGAGAATGCAAGAGAGGGGGGCACTTGTCGTCGGATGAATTGGTATTCCTCGGTTCGGACCCTTCTCAGGACACATTTGGGAAGACAATGCCAAGCGGTAGTGCCCTGTGAGGAGAACACTCCCAGCAACGTGCAACGCGCCAATTCAGCCGGACCCCAAGGCGACAGCGCAGTCCGCTAAGGTATGGGAGAGGCGTCCAGAAATCGAAGTTTGCTCCAAAATGATTTTGTATTTTGGGGTAGCCTATACCTAGGGCTTCAAGAACCTGTAAAAATGTCGTACCCTGACTAAAACATCGTGTTTTTTCTCGATTTTCTGAAAACATCGTGTTTTCAGGAAAAACATTGTGTTTTTGATAAAACCCCTTAAAAATGGGCTTCTGAGGCCAAACACTCATTTGGAGCAAAGGGTCAAAGGCAAGGGTCGGGAGTGGATTCACACAGACATCACCCATTAAGATTTCAACTGAGGGCAACGCTCTATACTGAGTATGCTTCAAATTCTAAGGACCACATTGATGAGCCTGACAGCCAGGGTGTGCAGCTGGCTTCAGTCTTGAAGTACCTTTCACAGCAACGGGCACCTGAAGACTGGCGCCAGGTCATACCGAACCAGTTTGAAGGGGGTGCTGGAATCCGAAAGCTCCTTTTGGTGCAAAACAAGACCAGGTGACACTTTTGGGATTGTTTTTATCAATTTTGAGTTTTTTTTAGCAAATGGGGCGGGATCCTGGCGGCAAACCGCAGAAACCCGCAGAAAACCCGTAGAAACCCATAGAAAACCCGTAGAAACCCGTAGAAAGCCCGCAGCCCCAACCGAAAACATCGTGTTTTTGGAAACATCGTGCTTTCTAACCCGTAGCTAAACCGTGGAGAACCCGTAGTAAAGCTTGGCAAAGCGTGGAAATTCTATGGGTTCTTCGGGTTCAACCACGAATGCGCTAATTCGAGAATGTTGCTGGAAAACAACGAAGTCGTGAGCAAAAGCACGGTCTTTGCTTGAGCTTGCGCGCTGTTCGAAGCCAGCACGCCCTCATCATGGCACTGCTGCTTGACAAGTGTCATAAAACCGTGGTACTTTTGACTATTTGGGTCCCCGGCCTCCTTCTTTCAGGTTGGAGTTGCGAAAGACGAGTGGCGAATGCGAAGCTGATTTCGTTGCGAGTGCAGAAGGGGAGGGCGATGGGAGATTCTGAGGTTGAGATGATGCTTTTGAGATCTTTTGAGAACGGATGACGGGTTGAAGGAATGTATGGGAAACTGCTTGAAATCGAAAATGCGGTGTTTCCCGAAAACATCGTGTTTTCCCACAAAACATCGTTTTTTTGTAGGTATGACATTTTCATCGGTTTTTGAGGCTCCTGGTATATGAAAAACAACATCTGAACATCTAATTTTCTGTTTACCCCAAGTGAAGCGGAGGCCCTGGTGTGCATGTCCCCTGTTGTTTTCCTTGGCGGAAAACGTAAACTCACATACAACCGGGAGGTGGGGGAGCTTCATGATTTCCAGTTCGGTGTGCTGGCATGTGGCCTGCCAAGCTTGCTGGCTGTGGGATATGCCAGCTGATTCTCGGATGTTCAAGCGAAATGAGGTGAGCGCGCTTTTGGTTTCAACGAGAGAAAGCCATCAACATACGTTTGTCCCTGTGGTGTCCTTTCTGTTGGCTTCCCTTCCTACCCCATTTGGTCTGCCTTGTACAGCTGTCCAATACCAAGTGCCGTGCACCCATGCACCTTGAGACCTTAACCGCGAAAAACTAAGGCTCAAACAGAAAAGCCCAAAGACAACAGCAAACACAACTGCATCCGCAAAACCCAAAGGGACTTGACCCAAGAACCCTCCAAGGTTTCAACCGCCCCAAAGTTCCAAACCCTCGTGCGACTTAAGCCGAACCCAAGTTGCCAAGACTTCCGCAAAAGTCTTGAGGCCACTGAAACGGGAGACCCTGGAGACCCAACCCAAATCTAAGCCAACCAAACCCAAACCCGCCGGTCAAACCCAACCCAAATCTAAACCTCCATAAAGCTCATCATCCCCTCGATCCGGCGCCGCCAAAAAACTCCCCCCTTCGGCCCAAGCCTGGCCACAACGCCACGCCCTGACGAACGTGGCGTTCTCATTTAGCGCGACTTGATGGGTGAAGTTGCGTAACTCTCATGTGGCACTCGACGTCTCAGGCTCATGAAGCTAGTCACTATAGTCCGAGTCTGGGGTTGGACCAAAAAGCCGGGGTATGAGCACATTTGCGCAAGCAAAGCAACCTGGCCGGACAATCAGAAACCTATTCTCATCCCCTGACTGCAGGAACTTAACACTTTTTGGGAGGATAGTTTGAGTGGCAAACAAGAAGGCTAGTTTGTTTGGCCAATCCACTCAGGAAATGAGGGTTGATCTTTTTTCCTGGCTCCCAGTTTTGACCATGGGTGACTTTCCCATGGGGAAATATCGACTCTTTTTAGTGGTTTCCCCCAATGGTCATCCCATGCTTTACGGACCTTTTGATCAACCCAATGGGTCTTCGGAGTGAGTTTTGCCGGAGCCGGTTGGAAGCCACGAAGGCGAAGAAGCTGCAAACGGAGGTGGATGAGGCCGGTGCTAGTTTGGGTGACCCTTCTGATCTTTGGGTGCCGCACTCAAGTGGAAGTTTTATGGGAAAATGGCCCCAGAAAGGGATTGTGCACTCCACTCAAGTCCTTAAGCTGTAAGTGGAAGTCCCAGGGAAACTGGCAAAGAGCAATTGATGGCAAAAAGGGATCCATGCTGAAAAAGGTAATCCTCCTGATCAAACGCCGGGAAATTTGTGAAGTGATCAGCGTTGGCCTCAGTGTAGAACGCCTCAATGCTTTCTGTGCATTTGTTGTGCGGAGATTGGGTGCAGCCGTTTCCTGTTCCCTTGGGAAGGGGCAAACATGTCACGGGAATCACCCATTCAGTTTTTGCACAGGATTGTTTTCCACAGCCCATTTTCTCGGAGAGCAGAACCAGAGGCAGCCACCTTCGTCATGTCCATTTTTCCGTACCCAAAGCTTGTGATGACAAGGGGAGGACATGGGAAAACAGGACCACCCCAACGACTCATATGTGTAATGGTCCAATCACCGGTTCCTTTACTTGGGGTTAACCAGGATGGTCCACCTGGTAGGGGGTCCTCAATAACCATTTAAATGATTCCTATCAAGGGAGCCTATGGGTATGTGACTCAAAGTAGGGATTTGGATCCAAAGCCACAATGCATTTTGGCTTTCCTGTGGGTTCCTCGAGCCCTGAAAAGGGGTACCTCCAGAAACACACGCACACACACATATATATACATATATATTATGTATTAATCCATTTGCAGAAACAAGTGAACGTAGTGTAGGTATATTTCAATATGGGAACTTCCCTGACGGTTAGTGAGAGGCATCAATGTTGGAGCCCATGGGTTCCAGGTCCGTCAACGGGTCGCAAGGAGGTTGAAGGAACATGATTGGTGCTCAAGCATTGCGGCAAACAGGGGGGGGTGTATGTTGTCTTGTTATTTTTGACATAGGGAGTGTCCTTTGGGTGAGGTTATTTGAGTTGAAGGGGAGCTGTGAGGAACCCTGTTCTTTGAACAGACTTCCCAGGTCATTTATGATTTCTTCTCAGTTGCCCAATGCCGACCTTTGAATCTTTTGCTTTTCCCTTTTTGGTCAACTTTTAGTAAAGGCCTAAAAGGTTAAGGCCCTTTGGGCAAATGAGTCTGGCGACCAGCCACGTGAAGATGCTGGATGCATTAAAGACGGAAGGAGGGTGGTGCCCGCACTGGGAATGTCGCGGAAGACGCGCACCGGTAGCAGTTGCACACTCCGCACGAAGAAGCGCTTGAGGAGGCTGAAGAAGCAGTGACCCGGGGAGTAGCCACGTTTCACGGGCCAAGGTTCAAGCCACGTTCCCAGCGTTGCCCGAAGAATGACAGCTTGCAAACCGAGCGATCGTCAGCTTGTGAACATGCTCACTGGCCCAGCCAATGAACCTGAAAGCAGAATGTCGAGGGCATGGGGAGGCGTTTTTGTTTCTTCATCCGACCGTTGCCGCCACAGAGGCTGACATTGACGTGCGCTGCTCGATCCTTTCTGTGCAAGAGGCCGGCGGGTCGCATGGGTCGCGTGGGTCGCAAACCGCGCGCGTGTCAAGATGAGCCAGGCGCGGAAGGGGACCCAAACAACGAATTTGGGTTCCTCCCTGCCCCGCGATGAACGGTAGTTGCACAAAGAGGCGGGCCTATTCTAAAGGTCCATGAGGGTAATGAGTCCGGGGTCAGCAAGTTGTAGGTAATACCTTCATCATCAGATCACTTCACTTGTTTGGCAAGGTTTTAGGAATTTTGGTTGTTTGGTTCTGTTCATTTTTAGTAGGGGCTGCAAAAACTTGTTTTGCTACCACACCAAGGGTTGTAAACAACCACTGCTCACGGACCAGACATGGAATCCCACGGATTTTGATGTTAGGGGTCCCCCTGCTCCGATGAGAGATCAGAACACCTTGGGGATGCTTTGGCCGCACACATCCCGGATATGAGCTTTGGGGATCATGTGGGTTCCTAGAAGAAAATCCAAGGGTGGTCTCCACAAATTGGGGGGGGCATTTTGAGATGTATCCATTCCCTATGTTAGATTATTAAGACGATTGCCTTTTGGTTGTGACTTCGTGAGGTTCCTGTGGGGTGATGTTTTGTGTTTTCCCCCAACAGCTGAAAGCTTTGGGGTCTCAGCTCAGATAGGCTCTGGGGTGGTCCGGGACGGCCCTGAGGGAAGGTTCCACGAGGGTTCCACCAGGGTTCCACCAGGGTTGCAACAGGGTTCCACGAGGGTTCCACGAGGGTTCCACGAGGTTCTGCGAGGGCTGCGGGGTGGTGCGAGCACTAAAGAGAGCACCGCATGCTGTTGGGGATATCACCTGATCTTATTGTGTGTGTGTGTGTTTTGGTTTATGCTGTTTTGTTTCAGGGACGTGCAAAGAACCCTGCTTCCGGGATCCATTTGCCAGGACGCCTTTCGTAGGATGCTGAGGGTCCCAGCATCCCCACGCAAGAAAATCATCGATTTGTTGGCTCGTGCACATCCAGGGGGGCATAAGGGCCATGAATTGCTCATACATTGCCCCTGCTTGTTAAGTGACTTCTGAATGTACGGTCTACACATTTCTAGTCAGGATCAATTTCCCTTCTCCTGACCACGCGGTTTCAGAGATGGGTTTGCCTCATGGGAAATTCCCAAGCCCAAAAAGACACCAGATGATCACCCCACCCCTTTCAGAAGACCTCCAAAACCGGAGAAGACGAAAAGTCGACCAACACTGGGGCTTTTGTGTTTGCGCTGGGACAACCTTGGGGGCAGCGGTTTTATGCGACTAGCTCAAAGACCTCCCACGCACGCAAGCGGCTGGAGCCGCTTGTTAGAATTTGTGTTTGTCTCCAGAACTGCCATTTTCGTCAGGGCCGACGACATATGAAACAGACTTGCACATATCATTTTCTAGCATCTGTGTGTGTGTGTGTGTCTCTGCACTTGTTCCCGTGGTTTGCAGCCCTTGTTTGAGGGTCACAGGTTTCCGTGTATCCCATTTTTGTTGGTTTGGCCGGTCCCCCGGCTCGCTCCGAACGCGCCGAGGAGAAAGGGGCAGTTCTGGCCGTGACGAAGAATAGTGGGCGCGGGCGCTCAGCATGGGTATCTTCAAATTGGCTAGCTCCCCCAGTTCCCTTCTCTCCCCTTTTTCGGGGGAGGGTTCTACTCAAGTAGACAGAAAAAAAAAGTTGGTACCTTTATTCTAACCTCTCTACTGGAGGACCTAGTAGGGGTTCGGCTCGGTTTCCCTTCAACCCCCAAAGTGGGTACTCTTAAAAAAGTGGCTTTAATGATGGTTGTGTTTATTGTCCGCTTTTTGACTAGCCCAAGGTAGGTCTGTGTTTGCATGGTTGATCAAAAGCTCGGTACATGGGATTAGCATTGGGGAAAGTCACTCACAAAATTGGGAAGTTTGCATCTGCATATGGGTGTGTGCAGGCATGGTTGAGAACAAACCCCAGGCCATTTGACAGCCCAACTACATGTAGCTTTGTAAATCAATCCAAAAAGGCTTCAATGTTCCCCTCAAAGCATCGGGTCCAACTCTATTACCCCTAGGGCGGTAGCTCTCTTGATACCAAAAAAGGGTGGGAATGGACTGGCAAATTCTCCACAAAGATAAAGATTAAGGGGACTTTGCAATCTGTCCGCAGGCAACAAAGTTTGACCACGTGACTAACATGGCGAATCCAGTGGAGGTTTTTGCAAACACTCCTCTAGCCCATTTCTGTGTGTGTGTGTGTCTTTCCTGAGGGTACGCTTTCGGGTTCCCCTGTTTTTAGACAAACCTATTTGGTCCCCCAGGCGCAAAGGCTGAAATAGATCCATCCGGGCGAGCTCACCCATGAGGAAGTGTTTGTTGAAGTACAGGATTCCTTGAGATGGTGAATTCTCATCGCGTACGAATCCTCGGCCGACAGGCACGGATTTGTGGAAGGCGGAAGAAGAAGCTAGCGAATTACTCCCTCTCACATAACACCTGTGGCAGGGTACCTGGAAGACAAAATTCCTCTTGTAGGTTGTACCCTGTCAGGTGCCATGGCAACGTGGGAGTGAGGGTATCATAATTTGGTATTCGGTTCAAAGACCACTGACCCCGTCAGTCTCTGGGATTTCGTGCATAGCCCAAAGCCATGGGTAAACGGGGTTATCTGGTCTCACTTCCCCCTTTTTCCTTGGCTTTGTACTATTCTTGGAGTATACCCCGCACCGGAGCTATCAAATGGGTGGGCTTAGAGGGAACTCGTGTAAGCAAATTGTGTGGCAAAGTTGCTGACTTTCGTTTTAAAAAAGGGAGCGACAAACAGCAAGTTGACTTTTGACTTTGGCCAGTCGGCTCAGGAAGCTTGTGAGCTTGTGAGTATGTGGGAGGGTTAAGGTTGCTGCAACTCGAGAAAAGTCAAACACCACATCAGGGTTTAAAAATGCCGTGCAGAAGCCAGATCAGATCTGCAAAGTGTAGAGTAACCCCAGATAGCACAACACCCCACTTAGAGTCCATCTTTTCCTTTACCACAAAAGACGTCGTGTCATCCGCTATCACCAACTCTTCTGTTCGCCAATTAAATAATATATGGGTCTTGCCAGTAACCAAGGTTGCACGAGTTCGCCCTGGACCGTGTCTTCGGCGAGCCGAGCCACGATTAAGACGTCAGCTTGCTCACTGTTCCGGATAGCGAGCTGTCGGATACCAGATCAGGCTTTGGCTTGGCGAATTTGTTGGCCCGGATCTGAGTAGAACTGATGTTTCTTGTTCATCCTGGATTCTTGGTTGTCGTTGGGAAACATTTTACATTTTTGCTTATTGCAGTTTAGTGGTTGAAATCCCCACTTAGCTGCTAAAATTTATTTTTTTGCTCCCCTTCCAACGTCAACCAAGGATTTCCCTTCGCTAGTCAGACAAGAAGTTCATGAGAGGGAACCATCAAACCTGCTGGCCCCCTGCGTGGGTTGCTCCCGCATCAATCCGCCAGTACCCTCCACATCAAAGAGAGCTCAGGTTCCAAATATCTGTAAAGTGGCAGGCTCAGGAGCTCGCTCCCCTCCAAAAACGCTGAAAGCAAAACGAGCGCCCACACCGATTTCCATCGCTCATGTACAGGTTTTACAGGCTGATGTGCATTTGTTCACCCATGTTAGCCACTGGTTGTTGGGCGCTCAAATGGCCAGTTACCTGCCGTGGCTTACTGGCCCCAAATCTCATAGAACGGTCTTTGTCCAAAATGACATTCGGAACTTTGTTGGTTTGCCCATTTTGGTTCTATTTTAGTTCAGGTCGTAGGTGACTTTGGGGAAGTGAAGAATGGGCCAACCCTTGCCCTGTGTACCTACTACCTTTCGAACTTCCGCCCAGGCACGGAAGTGCGCGAGGGGCATGTGATTCTGAAACTGACCCAGCAGCAGCAGCAGCAGCAGCAGCAGCAGCAGCACCACCACCACCACCACCATCACCATCACCATCACCATCACCATCACCACCACCAGCACCACCAGCACCACCAGACCACCACCACCAGCAGCACACCACCACCACCACCAGCACCACCAGCTCCAACAGCACCACCCGCCACCACCACCTCACTGCGGTGCTATCGTTTCTAGTGCTCTTAGATGGCTTCTACGATGTTCAATGGTTGCCCCATCATTACCACTGATTCTGATGCATGTTTAACAACAGTGCTGGAACCGCCCCTACCCGAGCGAATGGCCTACTTTCTGCAGCAATTGTATGGGCCCCCGCAGCTTGCAGCTTGTTAGTTTCCCATGTCTTCCTTGGCACCAAATGTTTGCGAATGCGCTCACCATGAAGCATGCATGTTGCAGCAACCAACCGGTAAACTGAGAGCTTCCCTTTTGACCACCTTGGGGGCACGGCTTGAACGGCCTCCTAAAAGTGTATTCATCCAGAAGGTCCTATTTCCCTCCCAAACAAATAAATATATAAATAAATAAACGCAAATAAAAATAACATGAAATAAAATGTGGGTATGTTTGTTTTGGGCACCCCTTCTATGGTGGTTTTCAAGGGAAGCCAACAGGAACCCCACCATTTTATTGGATCTCCTAAAAACTGACACACTCAGATAGTCCTCCAGCACATTGACCTGCCACCACCGAGCCCCGAACCGCCAGGCGAGCACACTGCCCAGCAGGATGTGTACAACAGGGCCGCAAAACGCCTTGCAGGGACCCCGACTTGTCGTTCGAAGCCCAAGGGTTGTGTTTTTTGAGAGTACCCTTTTCATGTAGGTTTCAAGGGTTGTGACCTTTATAGAGGGTACCCTTTTCAGGTAGGCTTGAAGGGAAGGCAAACCAACGCCATCATGTTTGGGATCCCGAATGTTGACAGAATCCCATGTGCCGTGAGTGCCATGAGCAAATTCCTACAAAATTGAAACCTGAAGGGTAAACATCCGGTTACTTCGGGTTAGTAGAGATGGTCCATGGGCAAACCTGCTTCAGGGGTGGCACTTCTAGCAGTCATAATATGTGCAATAGTCAAAGCTCGCTACTTCGAATTACTTAGGATGGTCATAGCCCCCTTGAGGGAGTTTAGACAGCCACCCTTCTCCTAACTACTAAAGGAACCATGACCATGCACATAAGGAGCTTGCGTTGACTACCAGCACATGTGGTCGCGGGGTGTAGCAGACGCCAAGGAAACCGAAGCAAAAGGCAACACCGTTTGTGTGGAAAACCAAAAGAATGGCAGCCCTAGGGTGTATGTGTGTGTGTGTGTGGTTGTGCGTGCGTGTGTGATTTTCAGCTCCAGCAAGTTATTCACACAACTTGTTCATGCCGAACCAACTCACTTTGTGCGTATTAAGCAACAGCAAGCCCGTTTGGAGGGTTGAAATGCACCAACTGGTATCGGTGCAGCGTGAATGAGGGCTTATTGGGAAACCGCACCATGACGCCTTTCGGGAACCGTTGTCCCCTCATGGCGAACTAATCATTTGCCCAGTTTCCCCCAGTGGCGCCCTTTGTTCTCCTCTTTTTTGGGAAGGATTCCCCTTTAAACTCAAGTAAGTAAAAAGGATGCCCTTTTTTTTCTCTCTTTTTTTTGCAAGGATTCCCCTTTAAACTCAAGTAAGTAGAACGGATGCCCTTTGTTCTACCTTTTTTTGGGAAGGATTCCCCACTGGGCATCTGAGTTTGGAAGGCTTCTTGGCATCGCGGAAAGGCAAGAGCCTTCCTCCCGCGCAGACTGTTGAGTGTGGATTGCGTTTGAAAGATGAAAATCAAAGGTCGTACCACCAGACCCATGAAGCATACTAGGGGTAAAGAAGCCCTAAACAAAGTTTAACAGTCATAGCTCTTCATTGGGGTTTGGTTTGGGAGGCGGCGGGGGAAGTCTCTGAGAAGAGGAAACTCAACCAGAGGAGGTTCGGTCAACGCAGCCTTTGTGTTTTTTGAGGTTCCCCTTGTTCTGGTTGCTTTACAGGAAAACCCAATGCGGATTCCCCTAGGACCCATCTCAAGCCTATCCAGAGAAGCTACACAAAGGGTGTGGCTTGACTGCGACCCAGAACTCTGAGTCAAACAAAATACCTTACTCCCTGAGTTCATGGACTTTAAACTTTTTGGGTTTGGACCATTTTAGTGGCAAACAAGAAGTTTGGACTTTTTCTGGCCAGTCCACTCAGGAAGTGAGATACAATCTCTACAGGACAGCCTTGCTTTTGCTGGGTGTTGGGCAAACTTCTAGAAGACTCGTGTGGCTGGTTGCTTCGACTGAGGTTATGGAGTTCTTGAATGGCACAAGTCTGGTGCCCAGACTTCCGGAAAGAGTCTATGCTCAAAACCAACATCCAAGAAGCGAAGAAACCAGGGACCCAAGCAAGCACTGCGGCGAGTGGGTTTGTCTCAAAGGAAAACCCCCAAAATGGTTGGTTTCCCGTGAAAACCATCAAAGGGTATCCTGGGCAACAGGAGCCACACTCAAGTTTGCATCCTTTCGATTCTTTGCGGTGGGAGTTGAATCAACTGAAATACGACATACGGCGGCGCGGAGGGCTGTGTCGGAGGCACAAAACTCCCATGCAAGTCTTTCAGAGTTTTGGAAGCTTCCATGCGAGGGTGTCTTTTAGGGACCCCTAAATCATGATTTGCAATTGCAATCATGAAAACCACCAAGAAGAGAGATACCCTCCAACATAGACGAGCCATCCACAGCCGGCCTGCGCAAGTAGCGCTTGCCAGCGCTGACTTCGAGGCGCAAGCATCATTTGCTATGGCCAGACGGCCAGTGGAAAGACCCACACGATGTTCGGTCCGTCCGGGCACCAAGTTGCCAACCGAAAGCGGATCGGATTCCAGAGACCGGGTTGACTTAGACTTAGCTCAGGGTACCCACAGAGAAGCTGCTCCCTGTTGGTGTTGATTTCGCTTTGGTGCATTTTGCTTGGATGTTAGGACTTTAACTTTTTGCCAACTAATGGGTTTTCCATTAGACCACTAAAAGTTAAACCTTTAGCAGGGGAGCAGAAAGCAAGCGAGTTCAGGGGCGACCAAAAGGAAAGCACCCGTTTGGAGGTTCCAAATTCTATTTTGGAGACAAAGCCATAAATGCTTCCGCTGCGGCCACAAAATGGACCGGCCTGGAGCAATGGGTCACCCGAAATCAGCGAATGAAGGGACAGTACAGCAGAAGTAGCGGCCAACTCAGAAAGATCATGACTTTCCCATCTTCCCAGCTCTTTTCAACTCATCGTTCTATTCCCATCCCTGCATCTATTGTCTACTGGATACGGCACAGCTAGCCTGCTGCAGTTGGCGGCGATAGTTCCGAGAGAAGTGCAGGAATAGTTGGCTGTATGAATGCCGGTTTACCCTAAACGAGTGCGCTGCTTGCAGACTCCCACTCCCCACCTGGTTGGAGCTGACGAATGTCCTCTTCAGAGCCCAGTGCTTGTGGGAAGACGACACCTGGCCAAAGCTGCACTTCAGAGCAAGGTGCACAGAGCAACTGGCAAAAGTACTGGTGGTCTGTTGCGAGTCTGAGGATGACAGGTGGGGGTTCCACCCAACTACAAAACCCGTCAATCCTCTTGGGGGAGAAGTCGTGTTGTCCGGGGCTTACATGCCCCCCATATGACAACCAGCTACCCAGCCACGCGCAAGACAAGAGGTGTTAAGCCCAGCACCTCGGATTGCGAGTTTGGGGCTTTTGGATGCAACAAAGACGAGCAGAAGCAGACCCGCCGCGATTTTTTACCGCTGCTTGCTCGGTTTCTCAGCTTTCAACCTCTTGGGTTGTCCGTTTTGGGGCCGCATGGTTTTTTCGCAAGTCCCAAAAGCACGGGCCTTGACACAGAAACATCGTTCCAAAAACTTGCATCGATGTGTAGATCAACTTTCAGCCCGTTAGCCTCAGCTCCGTGACGGAAATCAGTTTTTTGTGGCGACTTGGGTTGGTCGCTGCGTTCCCCAGCTGCCTAGTGGTACCCTTTTTTCCTTTTTTTGGGAAGGGTCCCCCTTTAAAGCCAACCCACCAAAAAAGGATGCCCCTTCTCTCCCATGGCCACTGAGCATCTGAGTTTCTGTGAACAATGGGAATCCCCTTGCAAGCGATTCTCCGCAACAGGAATGACCGATGTGTGCGGCACTCTGTGCTTGTTTGTGTTGAGTGGTTTTAAAGGGAAACCGAAAGGACACTAACCAAAATCATTTTGGAGGTTCCCCTACTTTAAGACACACTTATGTGAGTATCGTGATTTTTCATGGAAGCTTCGTCAAAGCCCTTCCTGATGGGGAGGCATTTTATTTTGTCTGTGTGGATGGACAAAGTCCGTTGAAGGCCCCAGTTGGGGTGGTTGATCAACCAGTAGTCAAATCGGGGTTCATTCATCTCAACTGGTGCAGCGCGTGCATGTCCTCCATCAACAGTAATGTTGACCCGCATTAAAAACCCCCCTCGTTGATAAATAGGGAGTGTGCCCCTTTATTGGTGATGAATCCCATTTTACGGGAGCACCCCCCTAATTGTCTCCAGAATTGGTTTAAAATATCCGGGGTCAACATTCAATGCCCTCCCAGCAATAAACATGAAACCTGACAGGGGTCCCTTTAAAAGGAAAATTGTTTTCCAGGACCCCCCCCCCCCGACCAGGTTCCATGTTAATTGGTCGGAGGGCACCAAAAATGCGCGGGCGAATGGACCTTTTGGCCGTTAAAATTCGCAACTTTGGCCCAGGTTTAGTCATGGCCAAAAAGGTGAACAGTCTATTTCTGGAGTGAGCAGATCAAAGATGCCCAAGGTTCTACGCGTTTATTTTTGATCATCCTTCTTTTTAAGCACGGATCGCTGTTTTCGCTGCATTTTTGTTGGTGGCTTCCGGACAAGATTCGGATCCCTGGAAAGAATGGGTCAAAATGGCGTCGGTCGTCCTTTTAGTTTCCCTTTAAAACCAACACAAAGAGGGGCACCGACTGACCAAAAAGCGCCAACTCCGACAAAATCCTAAAAGGCACCAACTAACTAAAAGGTACCAACTCCAAAAAAAGACGCTCTCAAAAACACACACACACACACACACACAAGCACTCCCAAGAAGAACACACCGACGCCAATAAAAACATACTTAGATTGTCTTGGACTTAGCTAAATGGCTAAATGGTTAATAACCCTGGTTGTAGGGGACTTACAACCACTAAGTGGGTTACAGCCAGGCATACAAACCACTTAGCTATCTCCCAGATCATCTAACAGGGCTCCTTAAAAGAAATTCATTTTGCAACCATTTGAAACATGTTGCTTTTTCACCACCAAAATATAATGAAACCACCAGAAACAAGTTGCAATGTTCAGGTGTATAATGCATCCGGATCCCTGATTAAAGGGAAACCAAAAGGAACATCGAAGCCATCTTGGGGCTTTTCCCTTACAAAAAGACACACCCACCTTGGGAAAACCTGGGCTTTTCCTGGTGAATCATTAGAATCGGTCCCTATCTAAGTCTAATTCCTCGAACGGACCTGGAACCTATCCATCTGGCCTGGCCTCGAGGCACGGCCTGGATTTCACCGCGGGTGATCTTCGAGGCTTGGATCGGGATCGGCTCGGGTGTCTCCAAAACGTCCATTGGCTTAAGAATTATGATTATTATTATTATGCTTAAAAAAAGAGTATATTATTATTATTATGATTACTTTCCCTTGTTGGTGTTAAAAGGAATGTATCACCACTGGAAACAAAATATGTCTTGATTTTTTTCAGGGGTCTTGACCAAATGGAAGAATAGGGACACCCCAAACTTCTGCTACGATTAAAACAATGGTTGGGTCAATATAGCCGACGTGATTTTTGCCTCAGAAGAACCACCACTACTTAACTAGGTTTGCCAGTAGCGCCCTTTCTCACCCCTTTTTTGGTTGGGAGGGTTCCCTAAAATAGACGAACAAAGTTGGTACCCTTATTCTAACCTCTCTACTGGAGGACCTAGTGAAGGATCTTCATCAAAATTGGGGCCTTGGGGCCCCAGGCTTACGCCGTTTTTCTAGACCTAGGGTTTTTGTTGCTTTTGCGTTTTTCTATACCTGTTTTTGTTGGTTTTTTTCCGCTTCGGTATCTCTTTAAAACAAAAAAAGCTAAATGGTGCCGTCCATAAAGACAAGCAATCAGTTTAGCAGCATCCTTTGCTGGAGACGGAGGGGCTTTGGCAGGTGAGTGACAGAGACAAAGTCGACACAACAGGGTCTTTCAATTCTAAGCTCAAGGTAAAGGGAGTAGCCGTCAGTGCACACTCCTGGGGCAAAGACCAAAATCCATTCAACGGCGGCCGTCCAAGTCTGGGTTTCTTGCATCTCTAAAGACTAGAACCGTTTGCATTCTGCTCTTTATTTCTACAATCTACACTCTGCGCTTACTTATTATTCCGAAAGCATCGGGAAGGGTTCTTCCGCGCGGAGCTCTCGGACCAACTAGCATAGCGTCACTTGCGCAGAGTCAAATACATAGAGCCAAGTGCATGGAGCCAAGCGCATAAAGTCGTGCATAGAGCCAAGTGTGCATAGAGCCGAGTGTGCATAGAGCCAAGTGTGCATAGAGCCAAGTGTGCATAGAGCCAAGTGTGCGTAGAGCCAATTGCATAGAGCCGAGTGCACAGAGCCGAGTGCATAGAGCCGAGTGCATAGAGCCAAGTGCATGGAGCCAAGTGCATGGAGCCAAGTGCATGGAGCCAAGCGCATAGAGGCAAGTGCATAGAGCCGAGTGCACAGAGCCAAGTGCATAGAGCCGAGTGCATCGAGCCAAGTGCACAGAGCCAAGTGCATAGCGCTTCGGCGTTAGCAGCTATGTAAGTTAAGTTTAGCTTTCTAGGGCGCCGGGGCAGGACTTTCATCGTCGATCGGGATTGCGACCCTTTGCGGGAATCGGCGTGGTCGAGGCGCAAAAACTCGAGTTTTTTTGCGATTCTTGCGGTGCCCGCGCGACCCTCTGCGGGGATCGGCGTGGTCGAGGTGCAAAAACTCGAGTTTTTTTGCGTTTTTGCGGTGCGCGGATGAACCCTCTGCGGAGATCGAAGCGCTCTCGCTGTGGCGCCGTGCGAATTCGTTTTAGTCTCGGCAAACCCTCTGCGGAGCGTGTCGAAGCGCTCTCGCTGTGGCACCGTGCGATTTTATTACTCGCGAAATGGCCTTTGGAAGTTGTCTCGTGGTTTGCGCGCCTGCTTTCGCAATCGCGCGGTCGCGGGTTCGATTCCCCCTGGTCCGCGCCAGCTCCGGCTCAAGCAAAGAAGCCGTAGTATGTGGAGTGTACTCCAGGCGGCTCCGACCGGAAAATCGCAACCCTGAAGCGCAGACGTATAGTGCGCGGAAAGGCTGAGCATCTTGCACACAGATACAAGCGCCGAGCGTCTTGCGGAGAGAAACTTGCACAGAGCAACGTGCACAGAACAGCTTGAAGACAGATGTCGAGCCACTTGCGTGCAGCAGCTTGCAGAGAGCAACTTGCGCGCAGCAGCCAGTGCAGCTTGCGCTCGCTCTCATGTGACCACACACATTGAGCGTCGCCGCGCGCAGACACGCTCGCCGCATCGATGTAAAAAGGTGTCTCCGCGGCTGGAAGAGCGCTTGGGGAAAAATGCTTTCGGGCCAATCGTCCTCTAGTTCCTACAGTTTACACTTTGCGCTTACTTGTTTCTACAGCTTACACTCTGTGCTTACACTCTGCGCTTATTTATTCACGTCAGGTACAAAAATACCGCCGTTTCTGGATTCATCAGACAGGCCAGCCAAGACAGAAGCGGCTTCCAACAATTGAACTTGTGATGCTTTGATAAAGCTAAGCCTCTCGAGGAACATTGATCCTGAGAGAAGAGACCGTATTGGTGCTCAGGATAAGGGCCATATTGTTGTTCAGGATAAGGACCATATTGCTGTTCAGGATACGGCGTTGCTGGATAGGTAGAATTGTAATCTTGTGGATGGCGCATTTCATAGTTGCTAGGCGCTGCATAAGGTCGTGGTGTAGGAGAATTTGGAGGATAGACATTTCCCCGAGGATCATACGCTACTTAAAGCCCAATTTAAACTGTTACCTGGGATATGTGTCAACCAGTTCTCTCAATTGAGAAATCAACATATCTTGGTCGGTGCTGAACTGCTTCGGGGCTGCAAAAGATTTTGACAATTATTGAACCATTTGTTTCTTCTTGAAGCTGCTCAAATTCCACTTTCCTTTTAATATAAATCACCTCCAAATCATGCTTCACTTGACACAAAAACACACACACACACACACCTCCAGTTTGGGTGTCTTCCCCAGGTGGTTGTGTGTCTGTGTGTGTGTGTGTTTGTGTGTTTGTGTGTTTGTGTGTGTGTGTGTTCGTGTGTTTGTGTGTTTGTGTGTTTGTGTGTTTTGGTGTGTTTTTCGCTCATTACCCCCGAAGGGAACATCCTGGAAGCGAAGACCCTTGCTCATTTGTTTCAAGTTTGTCAGTGCAGCCTTCATATCCTTTGAGGCGGGCATCGCTTTTGGTTCGTGTGTGTGTGTGTGTATTTGTCCGGCTGCGGTGACAAAATCACACCCAAAGCAACCCTTTTAGGGCCAAGCACACCTGCATGTTTGCCACAGTCATGCCTGGATCACTATTATTGTTTTGGTTTTGGCCCTATTCCTGTTTGGAGTTTTGCACATTCTTGCCAAATGTGAGTCGACTTCAGCAACCGCTTAACACGGAAAACGCAGGGAACAAAGGGCGCGGCGTTGTATGCAATGAAAACCCGAACCCCCGCAAGCCTCTTGTTGTATGTTCCATCTAAACCCTGGGATTCAAGCCACGGTTAAGACAATGGGGGTTAATATAGCCACCAGTGCTTTCCTAGGGATTGTCATCGTCTAAATTCGGTCCTTGCCATTCTTTTGAAAATCGGTTGAACCCTAGGGTCAAGCTTTCCTTGGAAATATCGGTCGTCTATTCACCAGATGCTGCGTGTGGCCCTTTACTATACCTCGGGCCCCTCCGGAGAAACCGGGGAAACACGTAAAACCCGCCGGACCAAAAAAATGCCGGAGAAAAAACAACACCGGAAAGCAATGGACCCTTGAACCACCACGGCTGTCCATGGGGCTACCCTACCTTTGACCGCCATATTAATATGGGTGGCTCGTCTTTTTTTTCTTAGGGGAGCAGGGGAGCCCCGCAAAATGCAAAAAAATAACGATGTCCTGTTGGTTTCCCAAAAATAAACACTTTTAACGGCATACCTAAAAAGCAGCCACGCACCCAAACTGATTTTGAAGTACCCTAACCCTCGAAGCTTCATACGCTTCCTTAGGGGCCGCCTCAACGCCCACAGAGAAACGGCGCGAAGGCTTGGTGCCACGAACTTGCGCAGAGGCACGGGCCCTATGGGCGTGAGCCGTTGTCCATGTTGCCTTAAATTGGGTGAGTTTTTGTTTAGGTCGGACTCCCCCAAATAGTTGGGTGTTCCTGGTGTTTTCCTACACCACCCAGAAAGGGGTTCCCGTGAACAAAGGGACACCCAAATTGTCATAGACACCAGCAGGAAAAGCTATAAGTCACCAAATGCCTACCAGGCCTGCTAAATTGCGGAATCTTGCTTGGTCGCTCTGGTTTGGCCAACTGTTTAGACAGTGAGCTTTTTATTCCACTCACACAACAGATTTAGGCAGGTCTAAGACCCAGCCAGTTGGGTGTGTCTTTTTTTTTTTTTTAAGTTGGACCCAAAATGCACGGTGGTCCTTGTTGTACCCCTGTAAGCCACAAAACAAAAGGGCACCGACTCAAAAAGACCCACCCAGTTTGGGATTCCTGTTTCAGGGAGGGAAACCCTACCAAAGCTCAACCACCAACAATCGGTCTCTTATTTCACAACACACCCTGATCGGTGCATGCTTGGAGATTGGAGATGGTTGTGTTTTTGTTCAGCAATACCCTTTTTATTGGTGGCTTTAAAGGGAAGCCAAAGGGACGTCACCATTCTAGGGGGTAGTTAAAACAAGTGTTGGGGGTGCATGCTGACTTTTGATTAGAGAAATCCCTTCCCCAAATCCGATGAGCTGGCTGAAGGTTTAGCCCCGGTTTTTGGGGTGAAGCACACCTTGGCTTGCTCCAATCGAACAGTTGCCCAAAAGCCAGGGTAGAAAGCCAGCGAAACCTTTTGGCCTGATGTCTACCCGGGTGTGTCTTTTTGAGGGTACCCTTTTTGGGTTTGGTTTAAAGGGAAACCAAACGGAACACCAAAGCCATCTTGAGGCTTCCCCCTACACAAAGACACACCCACCTTGTGGAAACCTGGGCTGTTCCTGGTTGGTGAATCATTAGAATCGGTCCCTTTCGCCACATGGAGCCAAGGCTCGGAAGGCACAGTGTGCTTTTGGGGGCTGGGGTAGGAAGTTGTGACCCTCTTTTGCATGGACAAGGAGGTTTCCCAAAGTCTTCCTTCTCCTTCCTGCCACTCCATGATTGGCAGGGTAGACCATTCTCTGAAGGAAGAAGATGTGCGCTATAATTCCCTTTTAGGGGCGTGAGGTTTAAGACGGAACTCTCTCTCTCTATACATATATACACACATAGGATAGGGAATCTTGAAAATCAGTCGGCAAGCTGTGTCATTCCTTGACCAGATCCAGTTTGCCATGTTGAAAAAGCCATTCAGCACCAGATGCGGAGGCAAGAAAGGAGAAACCGACGGGGCTGTTGTATTTACTCCCCCAAAAATGCAAAAATTGCTTTACTTCCCATGGAAGTAAGAAAACCCCTAGAACGAGCTGGGATCCCCACTCAAACTGGGTCTCCTGAAAAACTACGTCGCATTTCAGGGTCGACTAAATATGTAACAGAAACAGAGAAGCACATGTTTGAAGGCCTATGTTTTGGGCAACCCCTTCTGGTGGTCGAGGACAAACCCATCAAAAACGTAAACGAAAACGGGTTGTTCGACTCCCCCGCTTGGCTCACTCCGATTTTGAGGTCTTGGAGGCTGTGGCGCGGTGGCGGCACCGGGGCCTCGAGGCAGCGCTTGGTTGGGGGCGTCTCGAACGGTGCGCTTCCCGTTGCAAGACTGACCCAAAGCAGAATCCCTAAAGGTAGTGGATGTGGTTGGGGGGTAGTGGAAGCCATCTTGGACTTTGGTGGCCATCCACGGTTTCAAACTATGTTGCTTTTTTCCCCTAGTGGTTTTAAAGGGAGTCTATCGCTACTGGACATATGTTTGTTTGTTTTTTTTCCAGGGAACTCAGGCACATGGAAGATTGCAAGCAGTTCTCAGTACACTTGGTTCCCTGTTTCAGACAAGGAAACCATCGGATGGCTAGGGGAAACCAAAATGAAGCCCAACCTTGTTGAGCAACACCCACCTAACCTATAGAATCTGTGGTTGAGCTATGTTTTTATGTTCCCATAGTGGTTTTAAAGGGAATCTTTTGCTACTGGACATATGTTGTTTTGCTTTTTCCAGGGGACGTATCCACAAATGGAAGGTTTGCAAGCAGTTCTGAGTTGCCCACGGCGAATCGACGATTTGACCTGTTTGTTTTCCCTTGTTTGTCCATTTTACGTCATAGCCCCAAGTGTTAACCTTGTATTTCTGGGTCCTTTGGGCAACTGAGAACAAGCAGGGGATGTGGGCATATTGTGCGCATTTAGGCACGGGTTTCCTGATAGAATCCCGGACATTTTTGCTTCGCCCGTGTCCCCTTCTTGTTTGTTTTCCCAACCATGCTGGTTCATGGGCGATCACGAGCTGGCGGTTGGGAGCTGGTAGGGAGCTTATCCAAGCTTGTCTAAGAGGGAGCCTTTGGGAGCTGCCGATCGGAGTTCTGTAAGGACCTGGTAGATCATTACCAGTGGCAACAGGGGAAACACATGACAGCTTCTCTCTTGGCTTCACTTTACAGTTGCCTGAAAGTAGATGGCGCAACTTCACACGCGTTTGCGGCGCCAACCAAAAGGCAAGCAATGAACAGAGGGTTTCTTTTTCACCCCCTGTTTTTGTTTTGGTCCATAGACCAAAAGACCATATTGCGGCATTCAAAGCGCCATGGTGGCGACAAAATGCAGGGTTCCCTCAAAGAGAATTCCAAAAGCCCGCAACATACCGTTTTAGCATAGCCTGGAACCTAATGGTATGTTGGTGGATACTTGGATTCATGCGTGAGGCATAGTCATATTATTATGTATACAGACGTGCATATGTATCACACATAGTCGAGGTGCGGGAGAAAAGTGGTGTTTCTACAGTTGCTTGTTTTTGCGATCATTTGCACCGCCACTTGACTGGGTAGCATCTTCACAAAATCACGACTTAGGTCACACGATCTCAACCCCAGATAAAGGGACCTTGCTCGGGGAGCAATTTGCCCAGGACACAGTTCTGGATTGGATGGCATCCCAGTTGCCCAGTGGTGCCCTTTTTTCCTTTGTTTGTGAAAGGTTCCCCTTCAACCAAACAAAAAAGGATGCCTTTCTTTCCCATGGAAATACTCTGGGCATCTGAGGCATTTACTTGAGAACTGCATGCGCTTTTGAGATGCGCCAAGAGACGGCATGGCATCCCAAGACTTGATATGCTCCAGAGTGCCTTTTTTTTACGGCAAGTTCACTTGGATGTCAAAGCGAGCTCAACATGGTAAAGGTAAGAGATGGTGCATATCAGGCACTCGTTTGTATCACAAACCGAACGCTTTCTGTGTGTGTTTCTTTAAGGGGTACCCGTTTTGGGTGGTTTTAAAGGCGAATCAAACGAACACCACCATTGTTGGTATGTTTTGGGGCACCCTCAAAAAGACAGACCCTTTTGTTTTGTTGATCATTTCATGCATGCTAGATGGCTGCATTCTGTAATTTCATGCAGCCAAGTGTTTCTGGAATTACTCCTCACCCTTATCACAGTTTGCCTTTGCATTTGTCTCATCCTTTACTCTAGGTTTGCGATAGATTATTATTCCTCAAATCTGATCCTGCTGATCATGCATTGACAGGGCATATGCATGCTTGCTGAATCAAGCAAGCACTACGTGTATATAGCAAAAGCTACATCTATATACATGGACAGCAGAGGTCAAGTGCTACTTTGATTCACTGAGAAAGCATAGCCCTTTGATTTGAGCCATTAGGCACACCCTTCATGTCCTTAATCCTCAACCCCCCCCTCCTCCTTGTGTTGAAGCCAATCAACGTAGGAAGCAGTGACGATACCAAAGCCACCAAACCTTCTAGGATCCTATCCTACGCCTTCCCATAGTAGTAGGGCTTTATTTTGCAACAGAACAAGTTTTCCCTGAGGCAAAGGTGTTTTGATCCTTTTTCCACTCCTAAACCTAGTTCTATTGACATTTGTTTTACCTTTTGAAACGGCCCAAACAAGCCAAAGGCTCCCCAGAATGTACTGGGGTCTTCTCCAAAGTTATGTGTCATTTCACCTCCTGGAACCTGATTCAATTTGCAAATGGTGGCTTCCCAAGCTGATAATTTTCAATCAAGGCTATTGATAGGAAGTGGTTCTTTGAGAAACCACCATTTGTAAATGGTAGTTTCAGGTTCCAGGCTGAACACTAGGAATCCAAATCCAGTAGATCCCAGGCAAGCCACTCTTTCGGTACCGGCAATGTCGGCTCTTAGAAAGGCTGGAAAGCCAGTGGTTGCCTGCCTTTGCCCGGTAAATTGAATGACTGGCTTAGGGACCAAATGTGAATCAGAGCTTCTGAACAAAACAGAACTTTTGGTATACCCTAGAGTTGGGGAACCTGAAGCTATGATTTTTGGTATACCCTCGTTTGGGCCGAGCTTAGCAAGCTGAGACCCGATCCAACTCGACTCTCAGAGAGGTGCGTCTCTCTGCGAGCTACGTGGAGCTTTATGGCAGCGAGGCGCGTGGAAGAAATGGGATGTGGAATTTTGGAGGCTGTTTTTTTGTTTGGTTTTTTGTTGTTGTTTGTTTTGTGATTTGTTGAGTCTTTTGTTTGGTTTCTTCTTCTTCTTTCTTCTTTTGGGTTGCGTGTGTTTTTGTGGATTGATGTGATTAGCCATGGTTAATATCATCATCAGGGACGTCGCGTTAGTGACCGACCTGTGGTGTTTTGGCTCAAGTTTTGGGTTCCGTCGCGCCTCGAATGGGCGTCGCCGAACCCCTGCGTCGACCGACGGCATCTCGGGGGAGAAAGAGACCTCGGGCCGCCGCCAGGTTGGTAGGGACCAGTCGTGCGGCCTGTTGTCGACCAAGGTTGCGGGTTAACCCTTTTCTTGTTTGGTTTGTTTCCTTTGGTTGTTGTTCTCTGGTGTGTGGGAAACCCTGATCTTTGGGACCGGGGATTGGTTTGCTTTTGGGGAACCTTTCTTTTGTGGCTTGTTTACCCCAACTAACCCATTGCCTGGGCACAGGCTCGTGCCCGAATCACAGGTTATCAGCCGTAGGACTTTCCTACGCGCTTGAGACCATCAACTACAAGCTCTATGTCGACCCCACGATCTCGAAGGAGCGTCGTGGATGAGGAGGCCATCCTAGGGGGCCTCCGCTCAGGTGAGGACCTACCGGACTATGACTACGAGGATTTCGAAGCAGGTTCGACAGGTCAGGATCGCAGGGGTGAAGATCCCGGTAGGGACACACCCAGGAGCCGTGGCAGGTACACCGACGATGGAGACGACCGCATTTTCCGTCAGGCCACCGATGATGAGCAGACACGAAGGGTTCGCTCCGATAGGAGCGGCTCTGAATCAGGTCACAGGCGTGGACAGTTCGACTTCATCAGCATGGCGATGAACATGGCCCGCCCTCATTCGGACGACCCGGAGGCTATGCCGACCCGACCCCCGAGATCTCTTGTTCCAGGTGAATCGCAGGTCTCGGATGAGTTTGAGGACAGGCCGCAAGGACCAGGGACTATGGTTTTGGCTCCGAGAGATATCTCGGGTCGACCCACTGGTTCTCAAAATCCAGGTCAGTTTGATGAGCACGAGGAGCGGAAATTCACAGACTTCGGATACGATGCTCTGTTGAAATCAACCGCAGGTTGGGGCAGTAGCTCAAAGCAGGGATCTGGCGCCGGTAGGCACAACCCTAATACTGCCAAATCTGAGTCTTATGATGGCGAAGATTACAATTTTGCGGATGAGGAGGAGGACCAATCACGCCGAAATGCTAGGATCCGTGATGCTGCGAGGCCCAGGAGTCTCTCTCGTGGAGCCGCCAGGGACCTTCGTGTTGACAGGGACGCCCGAAGCGAGAGAGAGAGAGCTAGGGATAGTCGGGATGCGTATGATAGTTCAACGGTTTGCTAGGGAAGTTATTCCTGACAGCAAAGCCATTGTGAGGCAAGCCATCGATGAACAGGCTGAAGTCGTGGAGCAGAGGATCAATCTGCTTTCACACGAGGTTCATGAATCTGTTAAGGACAATGAGGCCGCAACTGATCGGCTTCGCCAGATGATTCAAGAGAATCGTGAGGCCGTCCACAGGAGCCATGCTGCTTCCGAGGATGAGATCCTTAAGGACTTGGACAAGCTCGAGGGACGGATGTTCTCGGTAGAGAAAACCGTCGGGATGCGGACGCCAGCAGGTGAATGGAATTTGAATCCTGTCGCGCAACCGCCCGATAGGGCTAGCAGCAGTGGGGTGAACGCGAATTTCAGAGAGTTAAACCTGAAACTCGAAAAGGCTCTCCTTGAACACGAGAAGTTTGCTAAGTGGGCCTCCGAATCTATTGGTGGCATTAATGAAGAGCAAACCCTTCTTGCTAATCGGATGTCGAGGCTGCAAAGTGGAAGGGGGTCACAGGCGATCGATAGATCATCAGGGCCTGTATCCCCGCAGGACTGGCATGAAGCAATTGACGAAGTCAATCGAAAGGTCCAGGATCTATCTCGCGGAGTTCAACGCCACCATGGGGATCATGACGATGTCCTTGCAAGGTTTGAAACCTTGAAGTCCCGTGTTGAGCAGTACGAAGCGAGTTCGGGGATTCTGAATCAAGTTCTTGATGACATCAGAAGGCAGATCCGCAATCTCCCTGCGAATAGTGATCAAGCACGGTCTGCCGTTAGGCGTGAAATCGACTCATTCCGGAGTACGCTTGAAGGCGCTATGCGGAGGATCAGCACTGTCGAGAGTAACGTGCGTACTCTTAATGGAATGAACAACAGAATCATGGCTCAGCTTTATGAAATCGAAGGTCATGTCGATGAGGCTGCTGGCATTATTCAGGGTGTCCAGGAAAATCAGGAAAATCCTCCTCAGCCCAGAGAGAGACGGAACGTTGGATACAACGCTTTCGCGGGGCAGGGACATAGAATTAGGTCTCCGACGCCCACTCCCGGAGAAGGTAACGGTCGGGGTACTGGCCTTCCGGTGAGACCGGGCGGTGGTGTTGATTTGGCTGATCATGCTTTGCCAGATGTGCCCGGTAGGGTCGATCCTTCTCATGCAGGCAGGCACCCCATTAATCCCGATAGGGAGAGGGCTGACAGCAGAAGCAGGAGGGCTCGGGGACTGCCTGACAGGTCGCATTCACCGCCAGGGCGTGCGAGGGGTGGCCCCCACGCACGCGAAAGGGGGGACATTTCTGTTTCTCCCAACAGGGATGTGGGTAGGAATAGGAGCCCGAGGCCTGCTGCCGTCCCCGATAGGGGATCTGAGGTCCGGAGTCGGCAATCGAGGGGGGAGAGGCCGATCCGCGATAGCGGGAGCATCTCTCCGAACCTGGATAGGCCGATCCACGATAGCGGGAACGTCTCTCCGAACCCAGACAGTCATCCAGGAGGTGGTAGGGATAATAGGGCCCATGCCGACATCCAGAGTCCCGGCGATAACTGGAGGACTCCTGGGAGTAGAGCTAGTGCCGATATCCAGAGTCCCGGCGATAGCTGGAGGACTCCTGGAGCTCTATCTGATCGTGGACAGGCCTCGGCACCGGCCGCAAGAGGAGCTCCCGGTACCGGTGGCCCAGGTGCGCCAAAGATTTGTGCCCTCGATAATCCCAACGACCGTAGGCACCCGGACGCTGAATTCTCGTGTGTTACGTGCAATCGTGAGTTTTGCAGGCTTTGCCGGGGTGACGACGGGGACTGTTGCAATTGTCAGTTCTTGAAAATGAAGTGTTGGGCATGTCGCAAGAATGCCCAGGAGGTCTCAATGTATTTCTGCACGGATTGTGGGAACCACGTTTGTGAGGATCACAGTCATTTTGGCAGCGACGGCCTCGAGCGATGTGCGCGCTGCAATATTCGGCATGAACGTGCTAACGCTGGACCGCCTCCTCCTCCCCCTCCTGGGGGAGGAGGTGGGCAAGGCGGACCACCCGGTCAAGGTGGGAGCGGAAGCGGTGGTCACGGACATGCTCCATTTCCACCACCAGGTCCTGGACATCCTGGCGGAGGCCAAGGTCCCGCCGGACCTCCTGGAGCCCCGAGTGGTGGGGCTCCTACCGGGGGATACCCTGGTGGAGCACCTGGGTTCTATGGTAGTGCTGCTGATACTCATGGAGCTGGGAACAATCAGTGTGGTTCCAGTTTCTATGGTCCTGTCTACGGAGGTGGCGTTAGCCACCAAGGGGTTGGCGCTGGCGTTAGTCAGCCCAACGATGCTGCAGGTTACCCCTCGAGTGTTGCGAGCGGTGGTAACCTTGGGCCAGGTCTTAGCCTTGGCTACAGCGTAAATGGGGCCGGTAGGCAGGGAGATGGTGGTCTTCTCCCTGAAGCCTTGAGGGGAGATGATGGACGAGACAGGTGCACTAAGTGTAGCAGGATTCCTGAGCCTGGTTTCCCTCTTGTCCCTTGCGTTGGCTGTGGAATGAGGGCGTGTGAAGTTTGCTGCCCTATGCCTGCTAGACTGTGTGAAAGTTGCAGGATTACCTCATGTACCCCGATAGGGGCTCTGATTTCCACCGTTGTCGATAAGGATCGGTTCCATCATAAGTGCAACACGATAGTGCTACCTGCTGAGCCGACAGCTGATAAGCTGCGGGAGTGGCTTTCCGAGATAAAGGAAAGGGTCAGGAATGCTTTCAGCTTTGATTCTGACTACGCGTTAGCGTGGATTTCAGAGACTGAGAGGCTTGACTATGATGCTCTTGGTGGACCCTGCAAGTACCCGATTTTAGATTCCAACTTCACGAGTGCTATCAGGGAGTGTATCAAGACCAGGGCTGTTAGGGACAAGATGAACCGCCTGACCGAAGCCGCTCAGAATATGAATCCTCCCCAGGGCATCAAGGGGAGACAGATCTTGAAGCTTCTGCTGAATCACCTGCAGACTGGAGTCGAGGACGACCAGACCTTCAAGATTGCCGAGTTGACCAGTCTCAAGTGTCGGCAGACAGGTCACTCCGACGATGAAGCTAGGCTCCGGAGTTATCTGAGCACCTGGGACAATCTCATTTCTGGGATCAGGAAGAAGATCGATGATGGGGTACTATTAGCTGTGTTCATTGAGAACGTTCGTCATCTACGCTGTATGCGGCCTGACATCGAGAGGTGGGATCGCGATGTGACCGTTAGGTCTTTCGCGTGGCTTTATAAGGCTTGCCAGGACTGCGTTGAGCGATGGCAGAAGCGACAGAACACGCTTCAGATGTACCAGACTTTTCATGAGCAAAGGTCACGATCAGGCTCTCACTCCCGTGAGAGGGATCGGCATCCTGGCGCTCCTGGCGTTGTGCGGAGGTACGATCCACTTGCCAGGAAGAGTGATCCTAGTCCTTCAAGGTCCGTTAGGTCCGGAAGGGATGGGAAACCCGACGGGAAGCCGAGATCATCTTCGCCCGGAAGAAGCAGTCAAAGGGACAGGGCTTCTCCGGGAAGAGGCAGTCAGAGGGACAAGCGCACGCCATCTCCCAAGTCGCCGAGAAGACAGTCCCCTGCTGGGCCTGCTGAT